GGGGCCCCCCCCCGGTTCCCCCCAGCCCGGTGTGTGTAGGACCGGGCCAGCCCGGTGCCCCTTGTGCTCCCCAGCCCAGTGTTCCCCCACTTCCCCACCCCCGTGTCCTGCCGTGTCCCCCAGCCCACGCTACCCCTCAGCCCGGTGTCTCCTGGCTGAGTGTCCCCCCAGATTCTTCAACCTGGTGCCCACCTCCTCCAGTCTGGCATCCCCTGGCTCCCCCAGCCTGGTGTCCCCCCCAGTCCGGTGTCCCCCCAGTTCCCCCAGACCAGTACACCTCTCAGCCTGGTGTCCCTCTCAGCCCGGTGTTCCCTGGCTCCCTCAGCCCCGTGTCCCCCCGCACCCGGTGTCCTCAGCTCCCCCAGCCCGCTCCCACCCCAGCCCCAGCAGCAGCAGCTCCGAGCGGTTGGGGAAGGGGGTTTATTGGCAACACCCGGAGGGAGGAGGCACCATCAGGTCCTGCCAACCGGAGCCATCCGACACGGCCAGGGCACGGCTCGTCCTGGCACCCCCCAGCAGGTTGGGCAGGCAGTGCTTGTGTCCCCGGGGGTCCCACACCCCCAAGAGGACAGAGCTGATGCCCAGTACAGGGACAGAGCTAGAGCTAAAGCTAGAGCTAAAGCTAAAGCTCCATCCCAGTGCCGGGCACTGGCTCTGTTCCATCAGTGACCACCTGCTCCCTGCCTGCAGCCGGCAGAGGCTTCAAGCTGTAGCGAGCACTGATGTTGGTACCCGAGACGCTGCGGTACTCGCCCATCTCCGTACGGACGGCTTCGTTCTGGGTGATGGTCAGCAGGACCGGGACGGAAAGTGTCACCTCCTTTCTCAAGACCTGGATGCTGAGTGCCGTGCGCGGGGGGATCTTAGCCGGCAGCTGCACCTCCACGCGTTGCCGGCGGGTGTTGGATTCGCTGCGCCCTTTCTGCACCGTGAAGATGTTGGAGGCTTCCACGGTCAGCGTGAAGGCGAGCCCAGCTTTGAGGCTGGTGGCGTTGCTGAAGTGGAAGCTCTGCCAGAGCGTGGTGCCATACTCCCGGCTGCTGCTGGCTGCCAGCGCCTGCTCCGAGTCTGTCTCGTTCACCCCCTCGATCTCATCCACCAGCACCTCCCGCTCCGCCTCCACCCGCTTCTGCTCCCAGAGGAGACGCGCCGAGACCAGGGGCCGCCCGGGCCGCAACGGCCGCAGGTGGGACAACCGAGCCTGGAAGTTCAACTCGGGTTTATAGTCAGCGAGACGCTCACCGGGCCACGCCAGGCAGTGCCAACCACCCCGGCCGGGGTGTTGGTAGAGCAGCCAGACGCCTCGCTGCACCACATGGGAGGCCACCCGGTCGTTGAAGTACCCATATGCCAAGTTGGTCTCCTCTGTCACCACTTTGAAGGCACCTTGGAAGTTGGGGCGCTCATAGAGGGTGATCTGGGGGTCCCCCAGGTCATGGTGCACGAGACGCAGCGCCGAGAAGCTGTTGGGCCGCCCCACCGAGGGGTACTCGCCTTCCTCGAAGGCGTGCGGCTCCCCCTCGTACTTGGGGTCCGTGTAGGCGATCCAGGGTTGCCCCACCACCTTCAGGGAGGCAATGCAGTTCCCAAAATCCAGCTCATGCAGGTCGGGCACGTCGCAGGTGAACTCCCGGCTCAGCCCCTCAAAGTTGGCATGCTCGTACACAGTGATCCGGTTCATGGTGCTGCAGGCACCCTGTGAGGGCACAACGCACGTCCTCTCCTCGCGTGGGGTCGCGTGGGTGCTATGGGAAACCCGTGAGGAAAGCCCGGCCAGCAAAGGGGCCTCCTGGCATCCCCTTTATTCCCTGTCCTCCGCCTCTTCTTTGCCCAACCCTGCCCTGTCCCCGTGCTCTGCGCCGGCAGCGCCCCGACACCAGGTCACGGCCGTGCCTTTTACAAAGGGGTGGTGGGGCTGAGGCGTGCTGCGACACGAAGTGAAGGCGATGACGGTTCTCGCCCCCGCGCCCAGCCCCGGCCCCGCTCCGGCTGGGGGGAGCCAGCCAGGCCCCGCACGGCCGCACGGCAGCCGGTACACCGGGATGCCAGCCGGGCCCGCAGACCAGCCCTGCCGGAAAGTCCTGCCGCACCCCGGGCACCCGGCGCTCCAGCGCTAACGAGTCACCGACAATTATCACTGATGCCTCTGCCCTGCCTGTGTTAATTATGGTGTGCGTTGCCGGTGGGGCAGGAACTGCCGGCTCGCCCCAGCGGGGGGGCACCAAGTGCCAGCAGCCCTGGGGGGCACCGGGGGACACAGAGCTGGGTGGCACAGCGGCACGTGGAGGATGAA